TTATATCTCGATTAATTTTGCAATAAGAAAAAAATCCTTTGGCACAAAATTCTATCTCCCAAAGTACTACCTTTGTGCAAAATTTAAAAAATTTCTGAGAGATGATTGATCCGCTTCACGTGAAATAGCCCATATATATATATATACACACACAGTGTCCGTCAAAAGTTCGGGGTTACCTAAATAATTTCTGAGCAGTTCGAGATATAGGATTAAAATTTATAAGGTTACAATGGCAAAATGTAATCTATCATTTAACCTTGAAAACATCCATTTCAACCCTCCGAGAGGGGCGGGATGGAGGGGAGGTTGAAAATCTAAAATGACAATGTAGGTTGAATGAGGGCTTGTTTAAAAAAGGGCTTTTCAAAACGAGAAGAACGCGAAATCGTTGTGGTCTCTACGATTTTCTTTACAGAGTTATTCTCATTTGAACATTAGTATTTTTTACGAAGACGTGAGGAAGATAAAAGCTTCGCGCATGTTCCTGAATGGACAGAAATGCATGTGGAAGAGCGTGTGTGTGTTAAAAATCGTGCGGATCGTTATGCTGAATATCCTGTACATAAGACTTTTTGCGTCAAATGGGCTATCTTATCTTTCAAAAATTAAAGCAATAAAAAAAAACATCTCAAAATATTGTATACTTGTGTAGTTTTGAATAAAACGTGGCCTTTTAAAAAATTTAATATGGCACCTACAAATAGCAAATATCACGAATGATCTTACAATATCTCCGATTAAAATGCGAAAACTTTAGAAATTAGCTTGAAAATTATTACTATAAAGTTTCCGAGATCATTAATTACAAATCTAGAAACAGAATTACAAAATTAAAAATAATTTATAAATTGATTAAATAAAACTGAAACTGAAAAAAATGATTAAATATAACTGAATTTGGAATCAGTACATTGTTGTAACCGTGAAGTTACAACCATATTATATTCGATTTATCCTTAACTTTCGCCTGACTGAGTAACGACCGGAAGTGCAAGACTGCAGATCTGCGAATTCCTCGCGACACGCGTGAACAAAAGTCGCAAAGTACACCTGACTTGCCACGCTCATATATGGTCCAACCGCGGACCATCGCGCGATGTAATACGATATCGAAAAATTTTTATATTCGGCCGCCTAAACATGTAGTCTCGAAATTCATTCTTATAAATCGTATAACGAACGCCTGTCGATTCGCGGGGTGATTGTAAGAGAAGAAAGTGAAAATAAAGAGTGTTAGTTTAGTTCACAAGACGCTTATGCTTTATTTCACTCAAGATTCTCCCTTGTTACACCGACCCCGGTGTAACAACGTAAAGCGTATTATAATTGTCGTTATGTCGAGTCTAATATTCTGTAATGATCAATTGGTTTAATGGCATCAAAAAGTAGCACATTATTTGCAATTTTTTAACAAGAAAAGCAGAGAAACATATGAAAACTCAAAAATTTCTTGAAAAACAATTTTCTACAGTTCCACAGTCCACAACTAAATCTAAAATGAATATGCTTTTCTTGCCATAAGGGAAAAAATTGCAAATTCAGTTATTTTAAATCCGCCATTTTTAATTTTGTAATTCTGTTCCTAGATTTGTAATCAATGACCTTGAAAACTTTATAATCATTTTCAAGTCAATTTCTAAAGTTTTTGCATTTTAATCGAAGATACTGTAAGATCATTCGTGTTTTTTTGCGGTTTTTAGGCGTCAAATTGAATTTTTTAAAGTGTTCCATTGCCATGTTCCATTTAAAACTACACAAGTATACGAATATTTTGAGATCTCAAACATTTTTTTTCAATGTTAACACAATTTTTGGAGAGAGAGGTGATCCGCTTAACGCAAAACGTTCCATATATAAACACATAAATTCGTGTGACTAAAAGAGTGAGATGATTTATAGATGGATTTTTTCTCACTTGCAGGATTTTGCTAGGAAATGACAGTCTTGCTTGATGTCTCTAATTAGAATTTCTAATATAAACTATACACACACATATAAATAAATTTATAGATAAATTAATAATTAAATGGATAAATAAATATGTATATGTAACATAGATAAATTAATTACTTCGCCAGATGTAAGACAAAGCTTTTTATTATCATCGAGCACAGTGTTCAGACTTTCAATCCATAAGGCGTCTATTGGTCCATCAAAGATAATCCATTTTCTTTCTAAAACGTCATTTGAGGCAAACCGACGATAAGCGGAAGCGCAAATTCCGTCAGTCCATTCGGATGACACTGGATCGAAATAACCATATAATTGATTCAGAGTAATAGCCTTGGGATTTAGGACAAAGTATTTAGTCGTCAAGCCATTCTGATCTCCTCGATTGTACATCAACGTCAAAGCATTGGCTAAAGTACGAAGAACAGTTGTCTTTCCACCGAATGGTCCCCCAACCTATATATTTAATTTGATTAATATAATATATATTAAATTCTATATTATTTCATTTGTATTTATTATTTTATATATATTATATATATATATATATATATATATATATATATATATACATATAATGTATATATAGAAACTGTTTTGTTTAATTTATTTAAAATAAAATATTTTTTCATTACTAAAACATAAAAAGATATTAAAAAATAGGAAGATTAAAATATTTAATACAAAAAGGATTAATACGAAATGCATTTAAGTTATAAGGTCTTCTAATTTTTTTTCTTGGAAATCAAAGCAGATAGTAATATAAGCAACATTTTGACCCGGCGTGGTTGTTACTTCGACTGCTAGGTAGGGTGTGACGTACCCAAATTTGTTTGACAGATTTTTTTGTACTAATTTTAAGTAATATTATCTAAAAGTGTACTTCATAAGAAATAAGGATCTCCCACTAAATAACAACTACAAATAAAATATTCAGAATTATAAGAAAATTATGTTTATTAAAATTCAAGTTAGAGTAACAATTTTAAACTTTAAATAGATCAATGTGTTCAGCAACGTGTATATCAACTTAAAATTAAAGTAAGAAATAAAAAACTAAAGTCTTCCTTCTTTTAACAAATAAATTAAAAAAATAACAAATAATAAAATCTTAGCAGCTAATCTTCACGAAGTTCAAGTTCAACATATTCGGACGCTCTTTACGCGCGTGTATCCAATTCCAACGTAGGCGTAGCACTAAATTGTAACCTTCTTACATCTTTCCGCACTCTTATCCTCAGCTACTCGACGTATAAATCAACGCATATGACACAAGTAAGTAAAAATCATAAACCAAAATCGGTCGGGTGTGACATATCCGACCTAGCTCACGGCAGGTTAAAAGATGAGAGCATCCAGTAAACATTGTTCTGTAACATTTATGTTCTGCAACATTAAGTATTAGGAAGATCGAGGAATGTTACAAACGTGGTGTGTGATCGGCCATTATGCCGTGCATGGCGTACTTCCCGCGTACCGTGATATTGTATTCTGCGAGATAGAATTAATAAAGTCGAGATAGGATTAACAAAGAAAGCTCGTACACCGGTCAGTCCTCGTAACGAAAAAACTAACGGTTGCCGCTTTGTCATACGCGGCCCGAGGTGGCACTTGTATACCGCAGTACACGCAATTATATTTGTTACTTGTTACAGAAATTCTGTGCTTTTGATATCATCCTTGCTCTTCCATATTCCTCCGCGCCCCTACGAACCGCCCCTCTGCTAAATTTCTGGGCTGAGTTACCGGTCAGCTAAATCGTCTATCGATCGCGAACAGTCAGAGTTTCGAACGTCTTGAGTTTCTCTTGTGGTTTCGTAGCGAATATCTCGCGTGTGTCAGGAATTGTGATTCGGTTCAAGTAATTCGAAGGGCCGCACGCCCGCTTGTGCCTGGCGCCCAACTTTGTGTTTTCGAGAGCCGCGTAAGTTCGAGTCATGCGACCATTTTGCGCCCTGACTGTAGCAACGGTTTGGCGAAGTTCTTGCTTTCCGCTTGCAAAGGCGGTTGCAATATTTAACTTCATTTTTTGATTTTTTATTGTTAAATTTGTAGCAATTTTTTATATGTATTTCAAAATATACAGGAAACAATTTACTTTGATTTCAAGAAAAGATTTTATATTTTAGTCATTTTTAAATACTGTGGCGATTGCATCGCACAGCCCCAAATAAATGAAATGTAAAATTAAAAGTTAAAGTAAAATAATTTTGCCTGCTAGATACACGACATACACAAGACATACATATACATTACGTACAGACACAAAACAAAATCGGATCAGTTAGCGTGGATATCCCCGGCTTATGTACCACGATTGAAAAAACAAAGGAATTATCGTTTAAAAATTCAGTAACGGAACGTGATATTTAAAAGTAGGGGCTTCGGGCAGCCGATCCGGAAAAGATCAAGGAATCGAGAGTCGGGTTTGAGACAGAATTGTACAGTTGCAGAGGCAGTCACGCGAGTTATAATAAAAGATATTAAATATAAGACATTAAACATTTATTAGAGTCCGACACTTAACCGAGTCCTACGCACTCCAGTATTTTTATTCAATTAATTCAACAGACACGTATTAAAATTACTAAAATATAATACATCCTCCTTCTTAATCTAAATAATATAGATTTTATGAATCATTGGAATTTAATCACTCACCAACATAAAACCATGTCGAACCATCATCATTTCGTAAGTTTGTACAATCTTTAATAAGAATACTTTCACCGTTTGAAGATTTTGTTCTTGTGCAATATCGTTCACCGCACCAAGAAGTGCTTCGTAACTCGGTGACGGTAGAATTAATCCTGGGAAGAGATCAGATACTATACCCTGAAAGTAGAATTTACTTATATTAGACAAATTTAGAAAAGTATAAAAATCTCTGCTGGTTAAGAATCTTAACATTTTGATTGCCATATGTACGATAAGTTTTCTGGACTTCCAGGATGTTATTATGACATTTGCACATATTTTCATTTATTAACAGCTTAAAATATGTTTCACATTATTTGTATTGTATATAATCAGTCATTTATTAGATTTTCTGAACAAAGAATGTAAATCTTTTTAATATACAATAAATAAATGAAATATATTAATTTATGTGACGTACATTTGCGTAGTAATTGTATTCTACTAAAAAAAAAATGTAATAAACAAAGTTGGGGATTCGAATCAGTAATGTCAGTATTACTCCGGTATAAAGAAAACTAATGTTGCGCCACCAGTTCGTCAGTAAAACGCTTTACTAAATTTGCTTATCACGACCTCAAAATTTTTTATTGGTTTTTCTCGTAAACGCTAGAGAAACATATCTTATCTGTTTATTACTTAATAACACTCGACATCGACATCTACATCTATCGATACTATGAGTTTTAGAGAAATCAATTGGTAGCATGCCGTGTAGTTTCTTTATTGGTAGACCGTAGGGAAGAGAGAGAGAGAGAGAGAGAGAGAGAGAGAGAGAGAGGGAGAAAGCACTGTGGTTAGCACGTAGTCCTTGGATTACTTGATGTAATAAAAAAAGAGAGATAAGTTTAATATTGAATGTACTTAATTAAAGGATCTTACAGTTCCTTGTTTATTGTAGACTGTTTGATCAAAGATTGTTTGGTCGAGGACAGATTGATTCAATACTGAACAATCAAAAACTGACGCTCTATGCCGAAATTAACGCATTTACATAAGTTATATTAATGATTAGAGCGCAAAAAAAACAAAAATTAATGGGGTAATAAATCATATTACCAGGCTATCAACTTACTCTTGTTTTAGTGTTGGACGTATTGTTGCAAAATTTGATGGATCAGTTAGATTATTTTATTCTTATTCATATTCTGTCTTTTGCTTTTTAATTGATAAGGGATCAAAATAATTAATGGTCTAAGATTGAAAGTTTTTACACCTGTTTTTCGCTATACTTTTTCACAGAATTCTCTTATGCGCCGTAAACCGTGTGTGTGTAATTGCGCGGTACATGTCATGTGACAGTTACATGGTCTCTTACTCTCTTCAGTAAAAATACCGACTAAAGTTGATAGCTATGAAAAGCACACTATTTGTCTCCATCACGTAATATTACATTACAGCAGACATATTGCACCAAAGAGGTTAAATCATCATACAATCCCCATAATTACAAAAGAAAAAAGTTAAAGAATTGTAATTATAAGTCATCTTCCGTCGATCAATTCCTATCACTAAGTTGGGTTTTTATTTCAGCCCGAAAAATAAATCACACAAAAATTTTAAAAAGTAAAAGATTTGCTTATGCGGTTTTACGTACAATAACAAGAAAATAATTTCTAAATTAGAAATTTTCTATTAAATAAGTAAATAACTAAATTATAAATGAAATAAGATATTACATTAATGGCACTTATGCATCTTTCTTTTTATGTATATTGTTTTGTGCATAATAAAAAAAAATGGGTTGATAATAATTGTAAACCGTTGGACATAAAAGGCTTCATAAAGAATTAAATGACACTTTATACATTTTTAACGCATACATTCTCTTTTCTCTCTCTCTTTTTCATACCTGAAAGAGTGGTACATCGCGTGCTAAAAATTTGGGTAAGTTCACATCAATCAATGAACGCAGAAGAAGAATAGCTTCGTCTTCATTAGGATGCTTTAATTTCAGATTCTGCGCTGCAGAAAGAACAGTTTTGACGGCACGCATGCCATAATCATAATGAGATTGTGAGGACAACTGTTCGGAACAAAGCTTGTATGTAGTGACGATTTTCGTAGAAAGCTCACGAGCAGTATCAAAGCCTGACGAGTATAAAAAAATCTCTGCGATCATCGCATAGTCTGGTACCATCATAGCGACTGTGCGGAATAGGACCTTCAAATTATCCGGAAGATCCGTGCGGCCAGCATAACCAGGATTCATTGTAATACATATGAAAACTGCTGTATTAAGCTTGAGTTCAGTATCTTCAAAGACAAATATCTCCAAACCAGCGCGTAATGCCTGTATGACCAAGTTAAATTATTAAATTGCTTTAAATTATTCATACAAAGTGTTAAAAAGAAATCACTGATTTTAAATGCATATAGAACGATAAAAAATAAGTCTAAAAATCCTTACAAACATGAGTTCACAAACAAATCATTTCCATTTAAGACATTTCTTGGTTTTTGTTTAAACAGTGTATTTCCTTTAAATCAACCTAATAATCTAACGCAGAGAAGACATATTTACTGTTTATTTTTAATTAAAATAAACAAATGCATCTACTTTATATAAAGAATTATATTTTTTAATCAAGGATGAACAACTTGATTAAATATGGTATCCATTAAGTATATTATTTCGATTAAATATATCAAAATCTAAATTATTAATTACAATCTTTCAATATGACGGATATAATTTTTAAGAGATCGAAAAAGATGTATATCAAGTGGTTGATAAGTAGCAGTACATTTTGAAGACATTTTATATATTATTACATATTTGCCTTTCGGAGTACTTTTTTGTATACATGCTGCATTACTGCATGCCCAAGCATGATCAAGAATCGACAATCATAGCAGCTTTATTTCTAATTAGAACATTAGGACAAAAACTATTTAATTAAAAAAGCGTTAATACCTTTTTTCTCATTTTTCCTCCATTGCAGTAAAAAAAAAACATTTTTGGCTTATATAATTCATCCTAAAACGACTATTTTGATTATTTTTATAAAATAATTAAAATTGATTTTTGTAACTTTCCTTTTATTAATAACACTGTTAAACAAAGAAAACACTATAACCGGACTAGTCATTTTCCGTAGTTTTTTAAACGTTGAATCTGAATCCGTTTATAGAATTGCTCTATCACGTCACAATTTTGAGAAACTTGCAGATAAAATTGCAAAAATGGGCTATTTTCATATATTCTGTCAAATTGTAACTTCGAAATACGATGTGCTAGAGAAATGTTCGTACGTTCAAAAAAGGAAGTATGTTGTTAGAACTTTAACCCTTTTAACCTTTAAAAGGGATTTTTGTGTCCGTTATAGTTAATAAGTTATTTATTGTTAAATATGAAGTCTATTGCAAAAGAAGAGTGAATTAAATTATTGACAATTTAAAATAGCTTCCAATTTTGTTTATATCAACTTAAGTATTTTTTAAATAGTAAGTTTTAGATAATAAGTGTGTATGCGTTTGCGCACTTGCATGTATTCACATATAGGTTTTATTTTTTTTTTGAGTTTTAGATTAAAAATGTGGACACCGCAATTTATCAATTTTACAGTATTTAATAATTTCAAATCACTTTTCAAATATTTTTAAAAATATATCAATATATGTTACGTTATTGGAGTATTTCATTTTTTGTTTAAAAAATAATAAACAAACCTGAAAAATTTTTACATGTTTATGTCATTTTAAATAATTTAAGAAATATTAATTTGCAAAATTAAGATATAAACAATTAAAAATTAGACTTTTATTCTTTAAAATTCATAACTTTGTTGCTAATAATGCAAGCTAACTAAAATTCATAACTTTGTTGCTAATAATGCAAGCTAACTTTTTTTTTAATACGCTAAAAATGTTCTATTTTATGGGAAAAAAATAAAGATTCTAGAAAAGTTTTGTTTTCCATTGTTTATTTAACAATAAACTTTTTAACAATTTTTTTAACAATCGGAGAGAGTCGAAAAATCTGAAAAAATATTTTTTATATACTTTCAATTTTCCTACATCTTACAAAAAAATTCAAGAACGTGTTTTGCCTCGCTTTCGAAAAACAAATTTTTTTAGTTCTCGATGTGGGGCAAATCTTTCGACTGTCTCCCCGATTGTTAAAAAAATTGTTAAAAAGTTTATTGTTAAATAAACAATAGAAAACAAAACCTTTTTGGAATCTTCATTTTTTCCCGTAAACTATAACATTTTTAGCGTATTTAAAAAAAAGAAGAGGGTTAGCTAGCATTATTAGTAACAGAGTTATGAATTTTTGCCGAACAAAGTAGTGTAATTTTGAATTGCATATATCTCGATTTTAATTTTGCAATAAAAAAATTCTTTCGCACAAAATTCTATCTCCCAGAGTACTATCTATGAGCAAAATTTAAAAAAATTTCTGATAGATGACTGATCCGCTTCACGTGGAATAGCCCGTGTGCGTGCGTGCGTGCGTGCGTGCGCGCGCGCAGGTTATATACCTTTGATGGAACGTTGAAAAAATTAGAAATCTTTTTGGTTACCTGCATTATACATAACATTTGTTGTGCCACAACTGATAGAACCTCCAACTCGATACGATTGAACTCATCAAAACAAGACCATGCACCACAGCTTATTAAACCCTTAAAGAACTTGCCCATATTCTTGTAATCAAGACCTTCAGAACAGTTAAAAACTATACATTGCATAGCAATGGCTCGACTTAAATCTTTTGTTGTTTCGGTTTTGCCAGTTCCTGCTGGACCTTCTGGTGCACCATTCAGATGTAGAGAATACGCACCAATTAATGTGCGGTAGCATCTATGGTTCATTCAACAATGTTTAAATTAATATTAAGCCATTTTAAAGTAGTATTTTTTAAAATATTATTTTATGCTTATTCAATAAGAATTACTTAAGAAATAAAGGGCTATGAGCCAAAGCAAGGTGTTATATGCTCCAATTAAAAGTAAATCTTTAATTAAAATATAGTAAACAGACGTTTCGATCGAAATAGGATCATTTTTAATGTTAAACACAAAATTAATAATACATAGTTTAAAAACAATATTCAGTCATCCTAATCATAAAACATTTTTAATACAAACACAAATGATCGTCTAAAACGGTCAGCTAATATAAAAATGTACTACTTATCGCATTAAATGAATTAGATTAAGGCGCAAGTCTTCAGGTGCATGTCGGTCATCAAGACAGTATATTACAAAGAGTGTAACTTTAATCTCTAAGGTTTTATGGTAGATAAAGCTCGGTCGGTTTAAATACATGGATATTCTAGAATACATTATACAATACAAAGTTTGCACTCTTAAAACTGCCCGGCTGCACCTTTAGAAGAACCTTTCTAACTATATAAATAAAAGTCTTTCTCCGTCGCTCTTCCTTGAAGGAGATAGAGGACAACTTCAACATTTCAAATAAAACCTTCCCATAAAATATTTAACATTTGGATTCTACAATAAGAAAAAAATCAACTTTATCTGAAACCTATCTTTGAAAAATGATTTTATTAAAAGTTATAAGCATTTAAATTTTAAACTAGAGTGCATTCAAATTAATGATAAAAATATAAATTAAATTATTTCGAAATTTTTCTGTTCCTTTTTTACATTTAAACATTTATTAATTTTTTGTACAAAATTTTGTATTCTTCTAAACAACGTTTCTAGAATCACACTAACGCAAGCTTAACATTCTTCATTATAAGTCTTCTTTCGTCTATATCAAACAGAAAATCATGTTTTAAGCATCTACGATGAAAAAAGATTTAAAAGAAGAATATGTAAAGCTAGCACTAGTGTAACCCCAAAAATATTGTACATAGGCTTATGCGCACGCACGCACGCACGCACGCACGCACGCACGCACGAAGCCTTATCTTCCTCACGTTTTCGCCGTGGGTCCTTGCTAATGTAGAAATAATACCAATATTCAAATAAGTATAATTTTGCAAAAAAATCATAATATTAGCGAGCATAAAGGAAAACAGGGAGTGAGAGGAAAGCGAATGTCGTGAGACAAAATTTGTATTTGTGATTGTCTTTAATTTTAATTTAAAAGTTAATAAACTATATATATACTATTTACAGATTAGATTATTTAAACAGCTCGCAAGAAAAAATTTGCGACAACCGGATCGGAAGTATCCGGTGTGCGCTAATAATAAAGAGATAACGTACCTGTTTAAGAGACGTGCAATTTTCCGCGAGAGCGAATATGAGGAATAGATGTGGTTATGAGTATCGTTTCTATTTAATTAAAGATTTAACACACGAAGACTTTTTATTATTATCACGACACTTGACTATATACAATTTATTTACAGACATTCAATAAACAAAGCTTTTATTGGAACACGTTTTAACTAACCGTACGAGTGCACGAATTAATCTTAAGATTGCGTTTGGTATCAAGAGCAAGTGCCACGTAGAGTTTTTAGCATGTGCTAAGTGAAGCGTTTGTAAGCTTGTAACTGAGACGAGCAGTTTTCTCATCCCTTTTAACCCTTATCGTTTCGTATAATGTTTCTCGTTTCGACACTTTCATTTGAGCAAATAGAAAACAAGTAACAGTCGCTAGAACAAAGGATCGGAGTGGTGATCTTGAATGTACTTATCACATTAAAAATAAATAATGTCACTTGTCGGTCGATTTTGACCACCAAGTGTTTTATGTGGAAAGTTCCGAAGCGAGATATCAGGTTTTATATGTACGTTTTACATGCGTCTGCGAGAAATTCATTTAAGCGTATATTTTACATTTATTATAATTTTTATGACAATGTGGATTTTATGTTGCCGTTTTGAACAGTACCTGTCAGTTAAAGGTGTGATAACAAGACGTGGACAGTTACCAATGTATTCATAGCCATACTTTATTACTGAATAAATAATTCTAACATAAATGTCATCTTCCCAGTAGTAACGAAGTTGTGCTAGCCATTCAAAATCCATTTCATTAGTAATATGTTTTTCAATTAAAGATTTGACAACATCCATGGCATGTACATCAAGAGTGATTAGAGCATTTAATGTTGTTCGATTTTGCTTTGACAATTGGCCTGTAATTCAATTCCAATTAACATGTTCTACAAGATATAAATCTTACTATATTATTATAAATTATATTGTTACAAACCTCTTACTAACTCAACTAATCTCAAGATTTGAGACTTTAATTTCTCGTAAAATAATTCCATTGCAAAGGATGTTCGACTAACCAGGATACCTTGAACTTCAAGACTCCAATAGATTTGTGAAACACAGAGAACAACCATACCAGGCCAAAGAAGTACCCACAAAACTCGTTCATTTATCTCATAATCTAAATAACTTAAATGGATCTCCTCTCTTACTGATTTCACCATCTGTTCCTCAACCTATCAAGCATCATATTTATAAAATTTGTTATACAAATAATAAATCTTCTTTATAAGAACAAGAGAAGTACATGGTTAAGTAATCACTAATTTTAATTTCCTTGCATGTAATACAAAAAATCTGTATAAAAAATAAATTGATCCTTGTCCAAACGTTTTATATTTGGATATTCTAAATACTATTTTTTAATCAAATTTATTGAAAGTTGAAGCAACCAATAGTATAGTATTTTATAAGACATAAAAAAAAATTTGCTATATTGAGCAGTACCATATAGTTTATTCGATAAGACTATACGCTGTTCAGAGAACTATCAAAAGTCGAACAAAAACTCGTCCATTTCGCGTATTAATCCCACAAATAGATCTCCACCCCTATTCACAATTATGTCATACTTATACCTAGCTTGCTAATACATGTTGTATTTATGGTATATACTGAATATCCTTATTTTGTTTGAATGCCATTCTTTATTCGAACGATGAAAATCTAATTAACAAGCTCACGTATATAATGACGTGATTATGAAGTAATTTTGATAAAAATGATGTCAAGTGATACAGATTCTGATATTCACTAGAAATGCTGACAGAAATACTGACATAGCTCTGCAAATGCCGTTTACTGTGCAATATATCAGATTACCTTTGTGTACATATGACTTCATAGATTTTATGGTCACTTTCCGCTTTTATTACTGCATGTAGCTTGCAAGGTGAAGCAATCACAGTAAAAACATGGCGATATCCATGAAAGAGTTCATACACGCAGAGACTAATAAAGATTACAAAATTCTTATTAGTAATAAGAGACGCGGAAAAAGCTCAAACAGATAAGAGAATGCAATTACTAATATTGATGTTTTTATAAATATGAATACTGTTTTTAATTCTTTTACAGATATGAATTTTGTTACACCGTTACTAGAACAATAAGCCAAAAAAGGAGCATTATACAATTTGTAAATATAATACATGCTATACAAAAATATTTTACCGCTTTTACTCCTCATATGGCCCAGATTTTAGCCCATTTTTAACTTGTTCTATCATTTCTATGTTCCTTTTCCTTACGGAAAAAAACTGCTAGTGCACAATAGTGCACAGTAGTAACACTATTGACGTCTAATAATGTCAATATTGACAGGCAAGTCAGCATTCAGCCAGTAGTGCTACTAGTAGTGTTCATTACTGCACTACTGTCACTTCTAGTGTATACTATTAAATCCAGTATATGGGATTTTAATAACTCATGACGTTACTCGTCCAATATAGTTGCCTCGATAAGGACGTATATCAATGTATTGATGTACATAAATTGTATTTTTAGCTTATATCATCACAGCATAATATAATTTTTAAATTGTTGCAATAAATCAGATCTGGTGACTTTAATGAAATGTTATGAAAGCCGTCATAGTTTTGAAAGTTCCTTGTGTCCTTGCGATCACCGAACAAGTAAATATGTATCAGGAATGCGTCGTATTATTTGCTTTACAGGAAGGTATTAAATTGTTTCTAAATATAATTACTTACCTCCGATCTTACATCTGCAATCAATAGTATAAAACTTTAATGTTACAGAGTTCGCGTAGTTTAAACTGCGAGATTTCAATTTTTTTCTCAGTCGGAAAATCAATTTGACTGATTTTAACAGTTATTCCATTTTTTTAAAACGAAGATCAATTTCTAACTATATCATGCACATAACAAACATGATAAACAATAATTAGGATATAGACCGCGTAAGTGATAAACACAATTCAAATGAGAGCGCCTTAAACGGTCAAGGCTCGATCTTGGCACCTAATAATATTTCTATGTGTTGGAATGCGTGTTGGAATGCAACAATTACAATTTAAATGTACCGCGAGAACTAGATGCATAAATGCATGTGTGCGCACGCGCGTAGGAATATTTTGTGTTACTAGAGAGATGGCGTTAAAAAGGTTTTCTCTCTTCCTCTTCCGCTTCTTGCGTTCAGAGCTTTATTTATCGTTTCTCTTTATATATTAAAGTGCGTTCTGTTACTGCAACTCGTGATATACGATACAGTTTATTTTTTCATTTGTATTCCTGCATTGAGTCGCAGCTCTCGTTGTAAAGTGTGCGACTGTGTACAGACATCCAGAATAAAATAGTCTAACACTATGTAAACCTTAATTCCATATTTCAGTCATTTTAAACTGCACGCCGAATTAATTTTGTGTTTGTAACGCAATCATAAACCGAAGCCGGAATAGTGAGATCACAATTAAATCGATCTTCAATTGTTTGCGATTAAAAAACCTGCGAAAAATTTATTAAGAAGAATATTATCTCAGCCAGGATTTGAATACACAAATAATAATGAACTAAATTCTTTGATATTTCGAATAATTTTGGGTTATTTGAAATACGAAATATTATACGGTTTAATATATGCAACATCTTAAGTCTCTTGATGTCATATTAGTGTAAAATATGAAATAATTTATAGCACAATTAAAAAAAAATTTATTTATTCTTTATTTATTTTATTATTTTATTATTTATATTTATTTTATTTCCGGTCTAGTTTTTGGGTGGAAAGTAATCCAAAGGGAGTCAAGATGCTTGGATAATTTTTTCTCTATGCTGTAGTTATTGTGCACCTTCTGTGGGATCCTTGTAAGATTATATTGTTTTTTTTAATTTCTTTATTAAAAAGAAGGAAGACTTAATTTTTTATTTCTTACTTTAATTTTAAGTTAATACAGACGTTCCTGAACACATTGATCTCTTTAAAAGTTTAAAATTGGTCTGAACTTCCGAAAACGACCTACGCTTAATTTTTATGAGTTTTAGCAGAAATACTCGGAATGATGTCAAATGAATATTCTTAAATGGATTTTCAGCGCAAAGTTTAATACAAAAAATGTTTACATAAAGTTATATATTGTTACACTGATTTACCAGATGAATATAGGTACTGTAATTGTATATTTGATTAGTCAGGGATTAAAACATGTGAAAAGATAATTAAATGAGAGTCTGAGGGGAGTGGAGGCAGTACAAAATCAGAAATATACATATTTAAATAAATTTTTCAAGAAAAAAGTATATATATAATATATATATATTTTTTCAAAACAAATAACATTTTTTGCTTTTTCAAATAAATATATATATATTTTTTTAAACCAGAATACACATATTTAATATAAACAATTAACTTTTTAAAAGGATCTAATTTGGCGAAGGGTGTTGGGGAAACAAAGCTCCCTCAATAGGTAGCATGGGCGCAGGAGGGGTAGGGGAGTGCAGGGAAGAGGGGCAAAGCCCCTCCTTCCGCTTATTACATAGTTATCTATTGTAGAAATAAAAAATAAATCTTTTATAACGATATAGGTACCAAATTAAAACAACATACTTCTACTTGTGATTCATGATACATCTTACCTTGCGTAGGGGTCTGTCTAATATTTTCGGTATCTATCGTTTTTAATATATTCTAGACTCATCCATTTAGTAAACCGAAGATTTAATAGATATTCAATTTAATGTACTTCCTACCTTGCGTAGGGGTCTGTCTAATCTTTTCGGTATTTATTATTTTTGGTATATTGTAGACTCATCCATTTAGTAAGGCAAACATTTGATAGATATATAATATAGTTTATATATTTAATTATTTTTGCGAAACAAGATCTATAATTGTTTCACATGAGTTTTTGACATTGCACGCATGACGAGATATAATACACGACGAAAAGTGCGTTTTATTTGTAAAACATTTTTTTGTTAATAACTTTAGATAGACAATGGCTAAAATCTTTCGAAGGTCGTTATACGGAAATAAAAATGCGTCACTTTGTTACGAATTTTGCAAGGCTCCTTGACATGAATTAAAAATCGCAAACAAATGCAGATTATAGCATTTAAAAGCGTATACCTTTATCTTTAATTTGCGCATTCGTTGAGCATTTTGCGATTTTTTGTCACCGTGTTATTCAATGTTAAAGCATAAGGACCATTTTTACTTCAATGTTGAACAACTCGGTAAAAAAAAATCGCATAATACTTAACAAGTACGCAAATTAAAGCTAAAGATTCTCGCTTTCAAAAATTGTAAATTGCATTTATGTGTGATTTTTAATTTGGATTATGGAATCTTGCAAAGTTTGGAGAAGATTTTGATATTTGACAGATCTTTTTTACAAAATTCGCAAGCTCCATAAAGTGAAATAAAAATCGCATACAAATGCGACTTTCAGTGATCAAAAGCATAAACCTTTACCTTTAATTTGCGCACTCGATCAGTATTGTGCGATTTTTTTTCACCGAGTTATTCAATACGAAAGCAAAAATGGTCCTTTTTGTTTCAATGTTGAGTACCTTAATGCCAATGCCACAGCCAATGCTACTGCATTCACTTATCTACTAGATAAATTATTACAAAATTTATCTAAAAATATAACCAATCCTAAAAAATACTATTTACAAGGCATATTGGACGAAACTCATTCGATCATAGCTCTTACATTTGTAGACTCACCATGTGAAAGAAGTCAATATCAGTGATTAGTCAACTACATCCTTCTCTTGTTAATAAATTCATTATTCAATCTAAACTCCTGTTTTTATTTTTAAATTATTTTAAATAATATTTTAAATAATATTTTGATAGATATTTAATTACTCATATTATTAAATGAAAAGAATTTGTAATAAAATATATAAATTTATACTTGAATCAACCATCGTTCAACACATCCACGTGCAGCCAATGTTGAAATTATTTCCTTCATTGTTACTTCTTCTTGATCATCACTAAACATAGAATAAATTTCTAAATCTTCGTTGAACCTATAAATTTAATAAATAATAACATTAAATATAATAATATTTAATTAATAACGAAAATATTGAATTAACCAATAATTTAATGCAGTTTTTGCCTTTACAAATAGCTTTAGGCAAACTCAAAGAGTTGGCCTGAAGCCAACTTTAGTTGGAACTTGGCATAATCAGGTGACATTTTAATAACATGAAGAATTCACTATTTTTCAAGTAATATGTTATGTCGAAACACATGGAAACCTATGATTTATTGCTTCATCTACCCGGCCAGCGTTTCAGCTCGACTACGACTCCATGATCTACAGGCAACATTACGTCGATTCGCTTAGAGGAGTAGTCCGGTCAATTTAGACATTTGAAGTTACATAAATTTGCTGTCAGCTGAAAATCGGTAAAATTGTTCAAAACACAATAAAAAACAATTTCTCAAAATTCCCCATCGTTCCGGTTTAAGGAAAAAAATTGGCTCGA